CTGCCTCTTCATATGGTTGGTATTCGTCTAATTTCCTTGTTAGCCGAGTAGTTATGACTTTGGTGAGTATTTTAAACAGGTGTGACAGTAGGCTGATGGGTCTGTAGTTTTCCAATTTTCGACTATCACCTTTCTTGTGTAATAAGATTACTTTAGAGTTGTTCCAGCTCTTAGGGACTTTGCCCTGATGTAAACAACTGTCCACAAGCTTAGTTACAATTGCAATTAGTTACTTACCTCCTTCTAATATCATATCTGTGGTAATACTATCTTCTCCTGCAGCTTTATTTCTCTTCATGTTTTCCAATGCTGTAGTTACCCCTGAAATTGTTACTTTTGGCATTATTTCTGATCCAACATATTTTATTAATTTCCGTGCTAGCCTCATCTCATCATCATAATTATGTGTTCTGTAAAATTCTTCTATTCGTGTCAGTATGTTTTCTCTAGTTGTGATTTCATTTTCGTCTTTTAACATTAATGATATCATCTGACGTCGTCTTAGTGTCGGTCTGAGGCATTCCATACTCTTATTTTTTTTCAATAGTTGTTATTCATTTTTCGTTTTCTTTTCTTTTTTGTTGTCTGATTTCTTTTCTAATCTGCCTATTAAGTTCTCTATATTCGTCGGTTCCCCTTTTGTTAGATTTATTTAAGATCTTCATTCTTTCTATTTGCTGTAATATTTCTTTGTCTAATTCATTGTATGTTGTTTTTGGTTTTTTCAATTGCAGAAGGCTTTTATTCCTGTTTCGGTAATAAGGTTATTCAAATCATCAATATCATTGGAGTTTATCTGCTGCATGCTAACTTGATTTAATGCATGCACTATCTTTTTTATTAAATTCGCTATTTTTGATTTCTTTAGATGTCCATTTGTATACTACTTCAGATGTCCATAACATACTATTGGTCTGATAATAGTTTTGTAGACCCTTATTTTCGACCCCCAGTGTGTGTTTTTGGAGCGAAACACATGAGCGAGTGAAAAGTAAACATAGTTTTCCTTTACTAGTCTTCTTCGAATTTCTGGTTCTTCTATTCCATCTGTGTTTAATGCAACTCCCAGATGTGAAAATTTTCTACAGTTTCAATATGGTCCTCTTATTCAACTGTGCGACTGTTTCCCCTAACTCTTGTCTTTGTTGGCTTTTTGTCTTTTGAATATTTATTTCTAGTCCGGTCTCTTTTGCCATGTTTTTAATTGTGAATATACAATTAAAGCTAAATAAAAAGCTAATTTACAGCCCTTTATTCGAGAAATATTATACAAGAGAAGTTAAAGAATTGATGAGGGAGTTGTTGTACTTTGTGAAAGAAGTAATTTCTACCTGATAATCGATTTCTTTAATGTTAGGATTAAATTGCAATTATGTATCACCTATGTAGATTTTTGTATTGTATTGACTTGACTAAAAATTTACTCGTAATGTTAAAGTTGTGATAGAAAATTATGCAAACATTTAATTAATAAAAATAGTATGTATGTTAGTAATTACGCAAGTAATATTAATTTTATACACAAGAAGTAATATTAATTGATAAAAAAAATATAGAGTGTCATTTACTATCAACAACTCTACCATAATTAATCAAAAAAACTGTTTATTGCTTTGATTAGTTTTTTTTACAGATAAAACTATGTCTTCTTGGCCATTCATTAGAACCAGTTATCTTAATATGAATACTAATTAAGGAAATGAATATTACTTAGGTTCATCTAATGGTATTCTAATCAAAACTGTTTGGCATGACCTACTGAGAAATTTATTCAATATCAATTACTTTATCATATGTATTTTATAAGTTAGTCATTGACAAATATGTTTGTATGCAAATTGGAGTATAATTTATTCTGGTCACGATAAAAACAGTATAATAAAATCTACTGTTATATTGGAGACTACACTATATAGGCACTGGTATATTTCTGATGACGGGAACAAAAATTACATATTTGTTAAGAAGTTCACTTAATTTTGTATATTTCATAAAAACTTATGACCTTATATACTCCATATACATCAAAACAAACTACAGAATAAATCATACAAAGAATCTTCTATCTTGAAGATATAAGGCTTCGAATATCGAGAGGAGCTAAGGTACAGCAGAAGGAGAATTGCTCTTATTACATTTTTGGGATCCATACACTGAGCACTAATAAGAAAAAAAAAATAATCAAACATTCTTCAGGGGGATAACTGAAATGCCTCTTAAAACTTACATTGCGTTGACTTATTCATCCTTGCATATACACAGATTTGTGTTAATTGTTTTTTAATTAAATACTTTAATACATATAATTAAATTGATTAATAGAATCTCTTATCACTTGCAGTTCCAAGTGTATGAACCTTGGACTGTTGGAAATTATGATCGTTTTTCACCTGTGACTGATTATCCAACCACAACGTTGACGATATATATATATATATATATATATATATATATATATATATATATATATATATATATATATATGAGTTTGGACTGACCTTACTTGTTTGTTCGTTCTAAGCTGATTAATGGGAGACATTGGTGTTATCAATACCATTTTTCTTTCATTGTTTGGTTTCTTACAGACGGTTTATCACCCAAACTCATTTTACTTTTTAAATATACCGCTCTATAATTAGGGTTGGTATCTCAACCTTGTTGATCTGTCATATTTTTATGACCTCAAGGTTGGCTGGCTTTTCACGTTGTTTGGCGCCATTTGCTTCAATCTAACGCCATTTTAAAGACAGCAGTCGTGAAATGAGTGGTAATTTCATTATACACTACATTATTACATTTTAATATTACTACTACACTGTTCACTAATCACTGCACTAGTAGTGACAATGCAGTGATTAGTGAACAGTGTAGTAGTGTCTGGGGGCTCGGGAGACTGAGACCTCGGAAGCCCTGAGGAAGGCATCAGAGAGGATGCCGAAAGCTTGGCAAAATGGATATCGACGCGGTTCAATCCGGAAGACTGGTGAGTTTGATATTAATTTTAGTAATAATATGGTTTCATATATATATATATATATATATATATATATATATATATATATATATATATATATATATATATACTTTTTTTTATTATTTCATCCAAAATAAAACTGGAAAACAAGTACAAACTAAGAAACCTCATTACAAGGGAAAGGTGTTTGATTCTAGTTCTTCAGAATCGGATATCGATATACCATGTGATGACAGTGACGATGCAGACGAAGATAGATGCCTGGTTTGCAGCGAGTTTGACAAAAACAGTGAAATGTGGTTTAGATGTACCCTTTGCTCAAGATTGGCCCATTTAGAGTGCAGTGGATGGGATTCTGCAGAGGGTTGTACCCAGTGGCGCACCCAGGGGGGGTTCTGTGGGTTCCTACACTATTCCGACACTGTTACTCACAAATTTTAAGGACAAAATGGTGGAGGTAGCATAAAAAAATTTCGGTGCCTAACTAAAACCCCCCGACCCAGAGGAATATTCTTGGTGCGCCACTGGTTATACCTGCGATAACTGTCAACCATTTTTACATTACAAACAACACATATTTTTGTTCCTTTTTTGTAATAAAAAATATTTTTTCACCTTTCTTACTGATTTACTTGAATTATTACCCATTAAGGCACATTCGTTAATCGTTTTATAACGCAAAATTGTTAAATAGATATTTATTTTTATTTTAAGAATAACACAAACAAACTGACTGGCAGTACCCACACTCATGATGTGACAATATTGTGACAATACCGGTCAAAGTACTTTTTATGTTTTGTCTCTGTCAAAGACTTTTTTTGTGTGTTTTGGCTTGGACGATTGTCATTCAGCCAGTCTCAATCAAGATAAGTTTATTAATGTAGCGAGTGTGTGTGTTAGTGTGTGTAGAGTAATTGTCTTGATACTTAGCAAAATCGACGTCATTGTCTTTGCTAAGAGACGCTAATTGTATCCGAACGTCTGCGGTCCCTCTGGTGAGTACCGATCACACAAGGATAGAAATTATTTTTCCGCAAATCGCCAGGAAATTTTGACATTCCTGTCAAAATTTCTTGAAGAAAAAGTCAGGACTTCCTTACTGTAAGGAAATGATATTTCCGTACAGTTGTTAGTGTTCTACATAAAGTTTGACAATTCAACCTCAATACGTTTCCATAGTAACCCAAGTAATTTTATTAGGAATTTCAAAGCACCATTTATTTGGGAATAAATCGCGTTTTTTTAAATCAATCAATATCTGTCGAATTTTAAACGATTTGCGGAAAAATAGTATGTTTACCTCGTAGGAAAAGCCACATTCCTGGACTCTGTGTTGCTAAGTCTCGGCATGCGCCTCGACTTAGCAACCTTCACAGTCGTCCAGGAATGTTAAGCTTTTCCTACCCGGTAAACAATGTACTATTCATTTATTAATTTTTTTTTTAATAAACGAAAATTTCCACCCAGGTGAGATTCGAACTCACGACCTTTAGGTTTAAAGGCAGGCGCTCTTACCACTGATCCACAGAGGGGGGTTATTCTCTGTCAAAGACAAACATTTTAGATTTTTTAAATTGAATGTGTCTTGCAATAAGTTAAAACTTCAAATGACCGATTGTCACCTTAAATTTGATTCCCACAGTTTTACTTTTTTTTTATATTAAATTTTCTTCTTAAATGACCACGATTTGCACACTTGACCCTAACAAAATTAAATAATGTGTTTAATGTGTATTTTGAAACTTCCGAAGTTGCAATCGAAACGCCAAAAATAAACATATTTTCAACTGAAATTGTGGTTAGTTCTTAATAAAATAGTAAATCGTATTAAAATGTTAGAAGAAAATAGCTTCAGAACAATTTTAACAAACGGTTTAAAAATTGGTAGAATTAGAAGAACATAATATATCTTATGATAACGTTTGAGTTTTCAAAATATTGCAACTGGTGCAGATAAAACACATATTAGCAGACAAAAAAAAGTTGGTACATATTTACCCAAAATAAAATAAAAAATACTTACGAAAAAAAGAGGACGGAAAACACATTGGCTCCATCCCTGGGATTGGGATTGTAATTTTCTTTTGCTATATCCATGATTATTCACAGAGTTTTTACTTAAAACCATTGAACTAAACACATTCACAAATATTATTAAGGTAAACTTTGGCACTAAACTAAAACTCACGCTAGCGGAACACAAAACACATTTATCAAAAATTATATAATTAATATTAATTAAGACGGCTCAAAATGTATCACGTTATCAAGACTATTTTTAAAAACTTTCAATTACGGACACACTTCTCTCTTCCTAAGATTAACCATAACTGACACTTAACCGATAATAAAAAGATTGTTTGGGCTGTTTCACTTTATGACGGTATTAAGAGTCGGATGGTCCCTTTTATGCAGATGATTGTAATTGGAGGCGGCTGTTAAAAGTTATTATCTGGGTTGAATTCCTGGTAGTTAATTTGAATGGCCTGGGGATATTCCCGGTGAGTATGGACCAATTTGGGTTTTTTATGCTGCTATTGTACCGTATGAGTAATCTGGAACAAACAATTTATTCTTAGTATGTAATTTTATATAAATAAATACAGTAACAATGCTAATTGCGTTTAAGATACATTTTTAGTATTTGCATACTTTATAATATTTACATAAATACCAAGATATATGATTTAAATTAAAAATAAAACTTATTTTGGCGACAACAAACAAAAAAGAAAAATGTTTAAATGTAATTTCTATTTACATATTAAATATTTTAGATGCGACAACTGAAGGGATATAGAATATGAATAAACATACTTTGGTATACGAACCGTAATAATTCATATTAATACTAATAATTTTCAATTAAAGTAATTAATAGTTTTTATACGATCCATAAACTTATTAAAGTCAAAATACGTAAAAATTAGTGACAACTAACAACAGTCACATCAGTATATTGTACCAGGTGGTCCAATAAGCCGATCTCTCGGCTATATATCAGAAAATATTCATGTTATAACTTTAGGAGAAAAAGTTCCTTAGTAAAAGTGGACAAGAGAAATCGCTGGAAATAACTTTCAAGTTTCTGGGTTAACCGCTAGGGGGCGTAACCTGTGAAGAAAAAATTTGAAAACCAGTTTTTTGTGAAATATACCCAATTATACCAAGTGTTAAATAAGTAAAATAGAAAGAGGCCTGCCTATGGGTATACTTGTTTAAGTATTATTGTTTGTTTTAATAAATTATTTATTTACTGTTTGTACATGTATATTATTTTTTTTCGTTTTTTTTTCTTGAAATCCGATAATTAAATAGATATACAGATTGAACGAATTTAAAACGGACCATACAATTTAATATATGTCTGTTTGAACTGCATTTGAAATAGTGGACCAATATAAAACTTGGACAAAAATAAATCGATACCTGGGTATAGACATTGTATAAAATATCGTTTAACTATCTGTCTCGCAACAATGTTGTTTGCGTAAAGGAAGCGATAATAGTTCAGTAAATAAAGCTCAAAAAAAGTTAAAACTTCGCAATTTTTTCGTCCTGCATGGATTGGGTTGAAATTTTAACAGAAGGTAGGTGATAGCCCAAGGATCAAAATCTATATCGAACCGAAGTGCGCTGAAGGGTTTTAGGGGTGAAAACTACCCCTAATTGTCAAAAATTATAAAATAACATATTAAACCTGAATATGGGTAAGATTTGGTTTGAATTAGTTAAATACTGATTATTTTATACTTTTGAATAGAGTTTCATCATATTTCAACCCTTAAAAAGCGACCCTTGTTAGAGATTAATGTAAAAAAAGTAGTAATGCGAAGAAGATGATTTGGCCTTGGAACGATTTGCATAAAAATTTGGAATTAAGCTCAACTCACCCTCTGCTTTATAGTTTATGTCATGCCGATGAACCCTGATTGTTCTTAGGGAAAACTACCCCTAATTTTCAAAAATTGTAAAATAACATTAAAATTGTAAAATACTACTTTAAAATAGAATTTCATACATTTTCAACCCTTAAAAATCAATTGTTATGAGTGCTATAGGTAAAAACAATTTTTTGCCAAAATTTTGCAACTTTTCAACTTTTGAAAATCACCCTTTATTACAACATTGCAGTTTTTGTAAACTAATTTAATAGATATAAATTGAAAAAAGTAGAATTAAATACAAAAAAATTTATCAACATAAAAAGGCACCATATATTCTTATACATTTACATAAATAGTTGAAAATGTTTACATTTATAGGTAAAACAATTATAATAATAATTTTATTCGTCATCAATTACATCTTCATCGTGATCTATGTCATCCTCATCTTCTTCAATTATTGGTGGACTATTATTGCACCCTTCACCTGAGCACCCAGAACTAGTAGAGTTACAGTATAAACCAACTTTTCTGCACTCACATAAAACGCCGCATCCTTTTTTGCATTGCCAAAAAATAATTTTCAAAAGTTCATCGGGTGCAGGTTATTTGTTCATGCGTACGGGTAATAACAAACCTTCTTTAGAATACCATCCCCAATCTGTTGCTCTGATATTTTCATTGCCAAGCCATAGATATATGAGCAGATGTTTTATTCTGTTGTATGGGATTTCAAAATAAGAACGCTTAAAATTTCGAATGTATAACGCCCCACTACCTAATATACCGGTTTTGTAGATTATTATGCTCCGAAATATACTGTACTATACTAATGGAATTTTCCGAAAAAAAAATGAATTGGTTTTTTTAACGGATTTCCTTCATTTTTAACGATAGAGTGTTTCTTCAAAAACGATTTTGTAGAGGTTTTTAAGAGCTACAAGGATCTGTGAATTAAATCTTTTTGGAACTCTTGGTTTTTAAATGGGGTGAGTTTAAAGGGCTTGAAAAAGATGGTGCTTGATCGTAAATCGGTGCTTTAAACGGCTATATCTCGCCAAATATTCATTGTACAACAAATCTAAATAAAGGAAAATTTTAGTCATTAAAAAAGCTACAATTTAGTACATTTTATTTTTTCATATATTCAGTATTTTCGGGAATATTTAAAAAAAGAAGGGTAAAAAATATGAAATTGTAAATCGTTCCTCGCTTTATGCTGTACTTTTTCTACTAAGCATCTTAAATGGGTCAAACTTCTTGGACGTATTAACAATATATGTACAAAGAGAATTGCAGAAGAGTGAAGATCGATTTTAATTTTGGGGGTGGTTGGGGGGTTGTTTTCATAGATTTTTTCGTAAAAAAATGAGGTATTGGCCTTATTTTCATCATAACTCACTCAATTTTTGAGCTAGAGTCTTTTTTTTATAATAGGTCTATTTATGCTCTTTAAAAAAGGTTTTGTTAGTTTTCTTCCAAAAATGCATCATTTTCCCGATATTTGACTTTGAATCTTTCAAATTTGGCATTTGAAGAAAACCGCTGAACATTAACAGGCCGTATTTCGGTTCCTGTTATATCGCAAAAACATTTTAAAAAATAAATTGTATTTGTCTTTTTAAAAGCTACAAATTTGTTCTCTACAATTTTTTTGATAAAATGCACCATTTCGCAAAAAAGAATTTTGCGAGTTTTGAAGGTAGTTAGTTCATCTTCGGAAAAATCTGCAAAAACTCACTACCACTTAAAAAATATAGTTGCGGACATTTCGAAAACTTTTTTCGAAAAAAATGCATTTATTAGGTTTTTTGATTAAGAGGGAGAAGAAGTTGATGGAGGGCTAAGATTGTGCTCAATCTTATTTTTTAATCACATAGAACGTAAAAAAATTAATTCTGGGGGTAAGAGCGTTTTAACAACCTTAACAGCTGCTACCTACACTTTATTTGTGTTTTATAATTATAATTCATACATTTAATACAATTAAAAAAATAATGACTCTCGTAATACATAAACAAAAAAAAACATTTTTAATGTATTTTATTATATAACAACGATTATGTTTGATCTTTGAACATCAATTAATAACGATTAAATAGTTAGTTTTTTCTACAGGAAACCAAAAATTAATACGTTTTAGCTATATGAGTATTGTTACTTACCATAACAATTTTAATTAAAAGTACCCTACAACACTGCCCACCAACAATGAGAAACAATCAATATCTACGAAAATACTACTTATATCGCATGCGATAGTATGAACATGAATAGCAACACATGTTAAATGATGACTCTAGTATCAAGGTTGTTTCGATTTTTATAAAATTACCAGTCATTTAATTAGTTCCTTGAAACTGTTTTTTCAAAATTCTTATTACAGTTTTGATTAAGATATATAAATACTGGCGAGATTTGCGGGTAAATTGAAAAATGGAATAGTTATATGACACTTTTATAAATAATTAAAATATGAACAGAAAGATTGTGCAATGAGATAAACATATATTACGCATCGGTATTTATATATGACTTGTTCAAAACGAAAGATTAGAGTTAAAAGGTTGAACTAAAGCCAAATTACTTGTTTGTTGAGTTTTTAATTTATTTTCAGGAAGATGTCTGTTAGAAACCGGAAATACTACAAGTCAATTGGTGTATTATACACCTTTATACCATTTATACATATTACCCTACCATTATACTAAAGTAGTTTCCACCTAAGAAGACCTCTTTGCAATTAAATGCTGGTAACACTAACGGACCAGATAAGCGGCGATATATTTTACACTATCTTTATGAATAACATTTTACTGTTCTGTTGTTGTTGTTGTTGGTCAGTGCTGCTATATGGCGTAGAGGGCTGGACACTCAAAACGAGGGATATAAACAGATTGGAAGCTTTCGAAATGTGGCTTTATCGCCGTATCCTAAAAATACCATGGACAGCGAAAATCACAAATATAGATGTCCTTAAAAGAATAAACCAAGAACGCCAACTTTTCGAAACCATCAAGAAAAGGAAAACGGCGTATCTAGGTCACATCATGCGAAATGAAAAATACCAGTTCCTCCAACTTATAATCGAGGGTAAAATTAAAGGCAAGAGAGCAATGGGACGCAAGACAATGTCCTGGCTCCGAAACATAAGGCAATGGACAGGGTGTAACGACATACAATCTCTGATACATATTGCAAGAAATAGAGAGTTAATGGAAAATGTGATCGCTAACATCCATTAGTGGATTTGCATCTGAAGAAGAAGAAGTTCTGTTGTTTCAATCAGCACAGCTTAACAAGTTATCGTTTGTTGGTTTTAATATTTTATTGCAATAGTACAAGTATGGGATATTTATTTAAACAGGGAATTTATTACTTGTTAATTTTGAATTTCTTCTGACGTATCGTATAATGTAGGTTTACCCAATAATCAAAGTTATACCTTTACAAAAACATATTATTTGAAAAATAAAGAGTACCACGTGTCATAATAATTGTAATCTTTATACACACTTTAAAAATTTGTTTAGCAATGTATTTCTTAAATCCACACAATAATGAAAAATGATTCAATATCTTTCTGTTAACGACACTGTTATCGACAAAGTAGATCAAATTCAAACTTGTCATCATATTACACTTCTATTTATCGTTAAAAATTAATT